CCTGTCTGAAAATGTAAGCAAAAAAATAATTGTTTCAGCCCTGACCTAGAATACATTTTTCCTTAGGGTTTTTCTTTAATCAAAGAAATGTTAAATCCAAAATTCACAGATATTATAACCCGTTTTGAGCTTGTGATATGCTGCCTTACAGTGCCCTGAAAAAGTATTTGATTTCCTATATTGCATTTTTTCACAGTAGATGTTTTCAGGTCTTTAGAAAACATCTGAAATTAAATAAAGGGAACCAAAGTGAACAAGTAACATTTTTTTAATATTTCATTTATTAAATAAACAAAGTTATCCAACACCCTTATCCCCTGTGTGAAAAAGTAATTGCTTTAATTCAGAAACATTGGTAAGTTTTCAAGCATGAACTGCTAATTTCAGGTCCTGGCACACCATCTCTATTAGGTTTACATCTGGACTTTTACTAGGTCACTCCAAAATTTTAATTTTGGTTATTTTTAGCCATTCTGGTGTGGAACTTGCTTTTGTGTTTTGGATCATTGTCTTGCTGCATGTCTACGCTTCAGTTTCAGCAGACAGATGACCAGACATTCTCCTTAAGAATTTTCTAATAGAGAGCAGAATTCATGGCTCCTTCAATTATGGCAAGTTGTCCAGGTCCTGAGGCAGCAAAGCATTCCCACACCATCACACTACCACCACCATTTTTGACTGTTGTCATGATTTTCTTACTGTGGAATGCTGTGCTTGCTTTACGAAAGACATAATGGGACCCATGTCATCCAAAAAGTTCTACTTTTGACTAATCTGTCCATAGACCATTCACCCAAAAGGCTTGGGGATCATCCAGGTGCTTCTTGGCAAATGAGAGACGAGCATTTTTGCTCTTCTTGGTTTCTGCCTTGCAATTCTCCCATGAAGCCTAATTTTGCCCAGTCTCTTTCTGGAATCACGAACAACGACCTTAGCTGATACAAGAGAAGCCTGCAGTCCTTTGTGACTTCCTGGATGATTTTTTGCTGCATCCTAGGAGAAATTCTGGCAGGCCAGCCACTCCTGGGAAGATTCATTACTATTCCAAGTGTTCTCCATTTGGAGATTATGGCCCTCAGTGTGATTCGGTGGAGTCCCAGAGTAATAAGCAGAGCCTTAGAAATGGATTTGTAACCCCTTCCAGACTGATAGACATCATCAACTTTTTTTTCTGATCTCTTCAAGAATTTCCTTTGATCATGGTATAATGTACTTGTTGAATCTTTGTGCTGGCAACTTGACTCTGATGGTAAGGGTCAAAATACAGTAAGTGAGGTTTATTTTGAGCAGGGCTGGCTGTAATCAAACCTGGCTGTGTTCAATCAGCTGCTTAATTATCCCTTTAATACTTTTTCACAATTACTTTTTCCACACAGTGCCAGTTGGTGTCCATAGGGCTTTGGCTGTGTATGGACTGCGTGGTGCCTCATGGATACTAGTGTATCAGGCTGTGCCAATCTCTCTTCACCTTTGTTATCTGATTGTCCCTCATTTCCAGCTGGTCTTTTCCATCCCTCATGTAATGAATTCTTACCTTTTAATTGATTGGTACAAATAAACAAAGAGACTTATACGCTATATTAATTAGATTAAATATTAAAACTAGAGCACTTCGCTTAGAAAAAGAAAAGCCGTTGAAACATAGATGCTTATGGCACTCTATGCTTCCACCTGGAGTCTGGCAGCACTTCATACACAATAAGAAAACCAGGAAAAGCTCTTGTAAGACATTACTGAAGATAGAGAAACGGAATGCAGCTACATTATGAGTGAAAAACTACAACAAATATGAAGCGCCATATGAATCACAGCACCCAGACACTTTTACACTGAAAAGAGAACCGTTTTTTACTTTGTAGCTAGCCAACACATTTAATAGAAAACTAAACAAGAATAAACCATATTTTATTGTTTGCACATTTAGAAGTTACTAATTCTGTGTCTTGGCTAGAAATGTCACACTTTTAAAATATAGTGAGTTCGACCAACTCTCACATGTGCTGCATTTCAGCTTCATAATAATCTATCTTTTCACCTGAAATAATATGGCAGGCTTGTTGTTAATATTACACCAGTGACCCAGTGAGCTGAATGTATATATTACTTGTCTTGTCCAGTTTGAATATTTTTAAGTAATTCATGCAGTAATTTCCCTGTATTTATTGCAAATTCAGGGGCCACCCCTGATTAAGTTAATGATAATATTGCTTTGAAACTTTGAAAAAAGTTGCTTTGAAATAATAACTTCAAAAAAATATTGTATAAAAGTAAAGAACCATTACTAACAGTGCCAAAACAGATTCTTATTCATAAGAAGTATCTGTGTAGATTATTTATTAACTATTTAGTACACAATTATTTCTTGTATTTGATATTTGACCTCTCTGGTGATTAATGGTGATCTAATGGGTATCAATACACTTTAGATTTGCAACAAAGACTTGTGCTTTTTGATATAAGGTTCTTAAAAATACATTTTATTATATTAGTTGGCTAAAAGTAAAACTAAATAGTGAAAATGTAATCAACTAGTGAGGGGTGATTAGAAAGTGACTAATACTAATAGGCATTTTAGTTGACTTGACTAAGACTATGATATATCAAAAACTGTTGACTAAATTAACACTGGATATCATACAACTGGTGTCAGAAAAACTCTCATAACTGTCAGTGATGATTTTTTTAGGTATATAGTCAAAGTTGTACTTGCTGCTTTTCAGAATACAGATGTGGATGAACACATTTAGATAAATGAGTAAACATAGATTTTTCAAACATTGCACAACGACCTTTTTTAAACATTCGTAATTGCCAATATGCTTTTTGACATTCTACGTACATTACAAACCTGGTTCTGGTGACAATCCAGTACACTGTACACGTCACCCTTGACTCAATGTTTTTAAAATCTTTAGAAGGCGTTTGCACAATTATGCTGTATAGTGACCATTTGGAAAGGATATCACAATAGTTCTCAAGGACAACAGCTGGCCATTCATGACTGAACAATATGACTAAATCAAAACTCCAGCAGCCATATCACTCACAACTCACAACTGGCAACCAATTGAAGCTAAGCAGGTGTGAGGCTGGTCAGTACCTGGATGGGAGACCTCCTGGGAAAAAAACTAAGGTAGCTGCTGGAAGATGTGTTAGTAGGGCCAGCTCACCCTGCGGTCTATGTGGGTCCTAATGCCCCAGTATAGTGATGGGGACACTGTACCGTAAACTACTTTGGATGAGGTGTAAACCGAGTCCTTAAAAATCCCAGGGCGTTTCTCGAGAGTAGGGGTGTAACCCCGGCATCCTGGCCAAATTTCCCATTGGCCCTTACCAATCATAGCCTCCTAATAATCCTCCTCACTCGATAGCTGATGTGTGGTGAGCGTTCTGGCGCACTATAGCTGCCATTGCATCATCCAGGTGGATGCTGCACATTGATGGTGGTGGAGGGGTGTCCCCATTACCTGTAAAGCGCTTTGGGTGGAGTGTCCAGAAAAGCGCTATATAAGTGTAAGCAATTATTATTATTATTCCAAGTCTTTCAAAACTAAGAATTGACAGGTGACTTATAGGATCTGCAGGGCTGTGGGTATCCAGGACCACTGGAGTTTTAGATTGACCCCAATCTAGTTTCACTGTAAATTTCATCTTGTAGTCTGAGAGTGCAGCTGTAGTGAAGAGAGGACAACCAGTAAAGCAAGTTTTCCTTTCTTAACTGGAAAAAAAACTAAAGTCTTAGAATACATTTAATTTGTCTTTTTGTAACTTGATTGATATTTTATCATCAGTTTGGGCTGATTCTTGCTTTTCAATGTTGAAAAGACATCTGTTGCAGTGTCAGGGCGGGCTAAGCCTAACTGTTCTTTACTGAAACACAAGCTTCTATGATTTACTAATGCTAACTGAACATACTACATTACTGCTTTCATATCTCTTCAAATCATTTTTGAACTGCTAGTATTAGGATATGTGGAGGGAGCCCCATATTAGAATGAGTGAAAGGTAGAACTCTACAATTTTACACCTCTAACATGGTTTATTTTCAAAATAAACTCCAGCTCAGTTTCCACATGTAATCAGTCTTCAGTCATAACTTGAATGGAAGGCTGCAATTAAGGAGAGGAGGTCCATAACAGCTTTCCATCCATTTCTCGTCTAACGTTCGTCATACCTCTGCATAAGAACAGCTCAGTGAAAGTTTTGTGCTGAGATTAGGATGCTGTCCATTCTTAGAATCATCATTATCATTTTAAAATGACTAAACAAGCTTAAATAGTTTAAAAATAAGAACATAAATCTAGAAATCACTACCACATTCCCCTAAATCTTGAAATACATTTGATTTCATTCAAACAAGATTCTGTTTTTAAAACATCTTAAACAAATATTTAAATAAAGTCTAAATACAATGAATATAACGTAACGTATATTTACATGTACATAATTGTGAACATATATACAGAAACAAAATATGAGTTAAAACTATTGTCATGACTTTTTAAGTTAAATGTTCTAATGAAAACGGCCTGCGTGAATCGGCAACTACGGCGCCAATTTATAATTACTTGAATTATCTTAAACCGTGTTTTTATTTTTCATTATGATGCATGGGGCAGAATGGTCCCAAGCTATCCTTTAAGGCAAAAACGACACTATTTTAAATTTAACATAACTTAAACTCATTTTCGTGGCGTTGATTTAAAAACAATAATGAACGTCCATTCAGTAGGCCTATAAAGTACGCATTTTCACTCACGGCTGTGTTGAGGACAGAGACACAGCCACAGCCAGCCAGGATATCTGCACTCAACAACAACGTAAAACCAGTAACTCCTTAACAAAGATTTCAAACTCTAGCATTCCCTCCAGATTTCTCTACTTCCACCTCACACATAGCAAAAACCGATAACGTTTCAGAAAAAAACTTTTTTCTCCATTAGGGAGTATTAATGTTAGGTTTTCAACCCTACCTTCCACCATTTTAACCCCCCTCTTACCGTCTCTTCTCCGTCGATATCGATTTTGAACGTCTGTTGCTGAAGCGTTTTAAGTGTAATCTGCATTTTGACAGTTATCGTTACACCGTATGTGTAATATATTTCCCTTGGAGTTTCGTCGAAAAGTTGAATTCAGTTTGCAGGGTATTTTCGCTAGCTCATCACGGCCTAATCACCACTATTACTCTCAACCTTTTTTCAGCGCATAAACAAATCTGCCAACCAACGTAATGAGCATGCGCCAACAGTGGAGGCAAAGCAGTCCCGGAGGTGGGGGGAGGAATTGCGCAGCAATCGGGGTTGTTTGGAAGGAGCACATACCAGTATGACTGAGCAAGTTTCTCAGATATGAATGTGTGTGACACCACAGACGTTTGTTTAGGTTTGTTCTGATGTGTTGTTTAGTTGTAACTACATAATTGTGGAAAAGCCATCTACAGATTTATGCGACATTAATTATATATATGTTGATTGTTTATTCATTACGGGTGTTAAGTGGTGTAGAAACATGAGAAAGGGTTACAAAAACCTACCCTTTCTGGTTAATTTGCTTTTGATAGCTAGAGTTACTAAAAGGCAACTACTTTTTTTACACTAAATTTAGGAAATCTGGAAAAGGTTGGAGGGATTTCGAACTTGAGCACCCCTCCATGTAAAACCAAAAATATCCTGTAACAAGCAAAGAAAAACCTGCGTTTAATTACAAGAATTCCTGTGCGCGGCCGCTATTACAACGATCAATTATATTATTTACATGTGCAATCAGACTGAATGAATATTGGTAGCAACTATTCATAAAATAATATTTTCACACTTAATGCTTGGCTTTTTTATCTAATTAAAAAAGGCAGTGTATGTGTCGTTGGATACTATTGAAAAGCATAAATTTGATGGAATTAAAATGGTCACACTAATAAAGCATGATAGAGTGTTAAGATTAACGAGTATCAGTGACTACTGTACATATATAACATATTCAACAGGGCGGGGCTTCAAATTATTGTAGCGCATTCGCCTGGCGCTGCGGCTGAAGAGTGCCCGGCTGGGGTACGTGGCGAGGGGCAGGACGGAGACTAGGAAGGCCGCTGACCAGTGCAGCTGACCCATTGGGTGTACAGAGTGGTGAGATCGTCCGGATTCGTGGAAATAGTTCCCTATTTCGCACCCCTTTTATACTTGTACCCAATTGCTACCCCTATACCTGTGTAACTGTACCCGAATAGACCCCAGTGTGTTTTTTTTTCTCTTTCAATTTAAGGTGCTAAATTAGCATGACTGATGGGTCATGAGGGTTGGAGGGGGTCGAAGACAGGAGAGGGGAGATCTGTGGTACTGTTTCAAGAGAGAGACATGGAAGGAGGGATGCACCTTGAAAGTCAGAGGAAAGGCAAGACGATAGGTTACAGGGGTGAGCTGGGAGAGGATGCGGAAAGGTCCAATATAACGGGGTCCCAAGTTCTGTGAAGGTTATCTAAGGGGTAAGTTCCTAGTAGACAGCCAGATGAATTGTCCTTGTCGTAATCTGGGCACAGGTTGTCGATGACGGTCTGCGGTGGTCTTCTGTTGCAGGGAGGGCAGACCTGGCGTGTCTCCAGATTCTTCTAAGGAAGGTGAGGTGTTTCTGGAAGCAAGGAATGTCTAACTCGGGGATAGAGTCCAGGAAAAGGGAGATGTTGGTATCCCAGGGAGCAATAGAAGGGGGAGGAAGAGAGAGAGTTATGTGCGTATTCAGCCCAAGGGAGGAGAGAGACCCAGTCATCTTGTGAAGCGGAGATGTAAGCTCGGAAGTAAGTAAGAAGGTCCTGGTTGGTTCTTTCTGTCAGTCCATTGGATGATAGCCAGATGTGAGAGATGTGGAAGTCCCAAGAGATTTGCAAAAAGCCCTCCAAAACCTTGAAATGAATTGGGGTTCCCGATCCGATATCTGCAGGAATGCCGTGAAGTCTGAAGATATAAAGAATAAAGAGGTCGGCCACGTCTTGATAGAAGAGCAGGATAGAAGCGGACAGAAGAGCAGGAAGGGGAATGAAATGAGCAGCCACGATTCTCTCAGGAGATATAATAGGTTCAGGAGGATCCAAAAAGCTAGGAGGGTCATGGAGGTGAGATAGGGCATCACCCTTTACATTCTTGGATCCTGGTGTATACGGTAAGTAATGAAGAAATGGAACCTAGAAAAAAAGAGAGACGAGCAAACCTGGCGTGGATTTAAGCATAGGGCCCCCTCCAACCAGTGTCTCCATTCCTCCAGGGTGGGTTTGATAGCCAGGAGTTCTTGGTCTCCAACGTCATAATTGGTCTTGTCCCAAAACAACCTTTTTGTAAAAAAGGTGCAGGGGTGGAGGATACCCTTCCCTCCTGAGATAATATAGCGCTGACTCCATTGACTGAAGCATCCACCTCCAGAAGGAATGAGAGGTTGGGATCCGAGTGATGGAGGAGGGGGGGCTGTAGTTCACAGTCTCTTGAGATGAACAAAAGCTTGGTCTGCCTCAGGGTTCCATTTACTTTTATCAGTACCTTTTTTAGGTCAGGGCTGTAATAGGGGAGACAACATAGCTGAAATTCCTTATAAAACGGCAGTAAAAATTGGCAAACCCCAGGAACCTTTGAATTTGTTTTAAATTCTTGGAAGTAGGCCAGTTCTGTATAAAGTCGGTCTTGGGAGGGTCAATTTCAATGCCCAGGGGTGAAATGTAGCTAAGGAAGTGGAATCTGGAAACATGGAAAGTACATTTTTCTAGTTTGGCGTAAAGTTTGTTCTGTATAAAACGGTGAAGTACCTCATGCACATGAGAGACATGCTCCTAGAGACTATGGAAAAATACAGGAAATGGAAACTTTCCAAGGGAACTGACAACAATGCGAAAGACAGTGGGATCCCCAGGCTGTGAGTTCACTTTGCGACCAGGAAATGTGTGGTTTGTGCGTCTGTAACCAAGAGAAACCAAGAACCAGTGGGTGAGAAGGGGATTGGATGATAAGGAACTGAATGATTTCCTGATGGATGGCGCCTATGAGAAGAGTGAGGGGAGGGGTCTGCCACTTCACCAGACCAGGGGAAAGAGGAGAACCATCAAGAGTGAGGACCCAAATGGGAGGGGTGACCAGCAACTAGGGAATGTTCCAGGACGAAGCAAGTCCAGAATCTAGGAAGTTCTGTCCGGAGCCTGAATCGACAAAAACAGAGAGAGATCTGTCCTGTAGTCCATGACATGGTGGCTGGGAGAAAAAAAAGTCCAGACCCGGAAGAGGAAGATGAAGTGACACTGGCCGTAGCTGTAGCTGTTGTTGTACTGTTTTGAATTTTATTCTTAAATTAATAAAATGTGGTTAATTCTTGCACAAAGTCTTGCAAAGAAGCCAGTGCAAGCAAGCTAACAAAGGAAATAAATGCACACATTATGAACATGCTTAGGACTACCAGCACTGCACTATAATAAATAATTCTGGAAAAGTATGCATTAGCTTTTCGGAATCTAGAACAGTTACAAATGAACATGATAAACATTACAAAGATAAAAAATCATCTTCACAACATTGTGAACATGAACTGTAATTATAAGGTTTGGATCAAATATTCTTAACCTACTGTAAGTACCTGGACTGATTCCAGGATGATTCCAGGACAACCAATATGTCTTTGATGCTCAAAACGTAATCACCCCTTATGACTTGGCCCTATTGACCTACAGTGCAGTTCTGCTTCTCTTTGGACTGGTTTAGGCATTTCTTGTACTTATCGTAGTTTGATATGTGTGGCCTGTCCTAGTTTCTCTATCAAATTTGTTGTGTTGCATAAATAAATATATAAATTAATTCTGATTCAGTTTTACTGAGACCCCTTTTGAAAAAATAATTAGTTTTTTGATAGCTTTATTTTATCCATATGCCAAAAATAAGACTGTTATAAATTTAAGATAAAATATTACAGTTTAAGCTTTGACAAGCTCCCACTGAGCTGTTTTGCTCTGCACTGTCTGAGCACAATCTGCACTGAATTTGCAGTCTTCTTTTACCACCAAATGCCAACAGAATCATACCTACTGATGTTTTTGTTTCTGTTAAACCTCCCAATTTATAAATACCTTCAACGTAGTGACAACTTACTGAAACTGTAGATGAATATACTGCCTTGCAATTCAAAGGTGCTAGGAACCTTATCCTCACACAGACATTGTCATTACTTTGTACTTGCAGCCCAGCAGAAGACAGATTTAAAATGGGAAATTTATTCTTCAATCTCCCATTCGATTATCAGAGGGTAAGTGTCACAGATGATGACCTCTAAAAGCTAACTGTAGGAACAGCTATTGCTTTATAGCTAGCTAGCAATTTTAAAGGGTTCTAGGACCTTCTGCAACAGAACTATCCTTGCATAAACCAAGCAAGAGCAGCACCCATAGACCAAGTAATCTATCAATCTATCTATCACACAGTAGTGTCCCCATAATGCAATACTTTCAAAGACTGTCCACACAGTGCATAGAACACACAACATAATTTACCCATAAGAATCATCAACAGATTATACGAAGAACCCCATGGACCCCAGTTACCAAAAACAAATATTCCAAAAGAGCAGTCTAGCACCATTGTTCTACAAAAAAAGCTCCAGTCTGTGACACGGCATGCTTCCTTCCACAACTGCAAAGAAATTCTGTGTAGTCTTAGGCATCCTCTCCAATCATGGCTGTCCTGAACAACATGGTCCCTGATGTTCCCCACCATGCTGTTTGTCTCCAAGTCCAGTTTTTGGATAGTGGGGGAAGAAGAGATTGCTTGGGCCATCCTCCACTTCTTCGCATAACTCAGTGCGCATTCTCGGATGGGCGAGGGGGCTGGAAGTGTCTCTTTGATGCCTTGGGTATGGAGAAATAAAACAGCTCAAGACTCCCTTATCAAATGTCTGTAAGAAGAAGGTCAGGTGTAAGGATTCACTGCGTATTTGGACCCTGATCTAGAGATTCCCTCCCTTAGTCTGAGGCCCAGTTAGATCTGTCTTTCAATCCCATTCTGAACTGTGTGGAAATCTGTGTGGTAATTGACAGGCTAGGAGAGTCTTTCATTAATGGAAGGAAGCTCAGAGAACAAGGTGAGAAGCACATCAATACTTAGGGAAACACTGGTCACTTGATGTAATCTTAAAGTCAACATAGTTTCTGATATGTGCTGCGTCACACCCATTTTTTCACTCTGTGACATAAGCACACCACACTTAAACTAAAAGAGCTC